TTTAATGGAACACTCGATCCTTGTGAAACAGTAGCTGAAATCAGTCACTCTCGGTATTTTCTTGTACTTTTCAACACGATATGAAAAATCATGCATTTATTTCTTTCTCCTCTCCTAACATAACCCTCAGTTTCTGGAAATCCAATGAATTGATTTTTATCCTCTAAAAGAACCAGTTTATAGAACAGCATACGGTAATCAACCCCTCTCCCTGTAACTCACTACAGAAGAATGCAATCCACGTATTTCCACTCCCACAGCGCCCGAGGAGGCCCCACGCTTCTGCCAGACCAACCTCTCCCAGAAAACACAGGAATACACAAAACCTACCCGCTACTGAACGGTTTTTGGTCACTCGCCTACACCACCAAGAAGTTTTTAAGGCAACTCTAGATCTCCCCTCTGTCTCCGGCCTGTTCAGCACTCACCTTCTTGTGCTTCTTTCCCAGGAGGGACAGCTCCACATTGATGTGGTTAAAATCCCTCCTCAATGTTCCTCGGGGCCCCTTCACAATGACCGTGCGGCCCTTCAGCGACACTCCCACTGCGGACCAAAGGCGGACACGCGTTACGGGCTGCGGGGCGGCAGCGCCGGGCGCCTCCCGAACGCGCCGCGGACTGACCTTGCTCGGGGATGTCCACAGTCTGGTTGCTGAGGATGGTCTTCATCCTGCGGGAGACAACGAGAAACGCTGGGGCCTCGCTCGCCCTCGTGCCCGCCCGCTCCCCCCTGCACGAGCCGGCGCTCCCCCCGCGCTGTCCCCGCACTGCGGACCAAAGGCGGACACGCGTTACGGGCTGCGGGGCGGCAGCGCCGGGCGCCTCCCGAACGCGCCGCGGACTGACCTTGCTCGGGGATGTCCACAGTCTGGTTGCTGAGGATGGTCTTCATCCTGCGGGAGACAACGAGAAACGCTGGGGCCTCGCTCGCCCTCGTGCCCGCCCGCTCCCCCCTGCACGAGCCGGCGCTCCCCCCGCGCTGTCCCCGCTCCCCGCAGCCGCGCCTCCCACCGGGCCCGCAGCGCGGCCTTGTCGGGGAGGCGCCTCAACGGGGCTCACAGCGCGGGGTGCGGGACGGGAG